TTCAATCTTCCATGAATCTCGTACATTCATAACTGCTCATGGCGTATCGTATAAGCAGTAAATTCAAACTTGCCAACCGGACGATCCTTTGTGGCCGAGCGGTCAAGGCACGTCAGCGTAAATGACTGTTCCGTATAGGATGCAGGTTCGAATCCTGTTTTTTCTATGATAATTTCTCGGACATTCAGGCCGGTAAATGTTAGTTATTACTGTTAATTATAAACAGAGCATTTACTTAAATACTTGTATCTATAAAAAGAACGTTAAGCATAAAAATGTCTTTTGTATATATATGCATGTATATAGCCTAAGACGGACAACAGTAAATAATACTAAAACATCATTGTTAGAGTGTTTTTCAATAGGCTGCTTTTATACACGTGATTTCGTTTCACACATGACTGAAATGTTTTGGTAAGGAGGAAGTTCAGTTCGGAGAGCTTCTTCTTGAGGACCGCTAACTTTTTGAAACAATACCTAGAAAGATCGTCGTGTCGGCATTTCGATTCTCACTTTCCAAACCTGATGGCGCTTAAAAATCGTTTATGCGGTTTTGTGGGCTAATAATCGCTAAATCCTACCACCGTCCCTGGCATTCATATCACAGACTTCATTTATTATTACTATTTTGAGTGTAATACTTTACCTTGACAGTCTCTCGAGCCTTGATTGGCTAATATTGAGTATTAAAATAGTTATTCGGGCATTTAATTATTCGATCTTCAATGTTTCTGACAACCTACACTCCAAGACGCTTGTACAGGGTTTCCTTGTGTAATGCGAAAAATGTTTATGGCGTTGTATTGATGCGAGTGATATTAGAGTCTGTCTTCCAAATATATCTAACCGTCAAGTTTGTTTGCCTTAAACGCTACGAACAAAAGGCGAATTTGTCGATATTTGGTCTGGCAACCATTGATTAAATAAGGGGGGCAAAACCTGGTCAATAGAGACTGTAGATCAACCGGTAAGAAAAAAATATATGTTTATTTACGGAAGCGGTAGGGGAAGAAATTTAGAAATTATTCAGTATCTGAATATATTTGTCTGTGTGCCCGTGAAGAGGATTCAAAGTCTCTGATGTGTGTTTCAACATAACACGTATACACACTTAGAGAGAGGACAGCTAAAGAGAAAGATGAAGAGAGAGGAGAAGAGAGTTGGATTATTCAACAAACAATAATAATAATAATAATAATAATAATAATGTTCGGTTCTTTGTACTGCTCCAGAAAATATCTGACTCCTACCTTGTTCTACCTTTTCAACCGACAGAACTAAACAACAAAAATTGCGTTATTTACATTACTTACCTTGTTCGGACTGTTGTCCTCATCTTTATTGTCATGTTCACGACGTTTCGACCGTGTACACTCTGGTCTTCTTCAGGTGACTGAAATTTCGAACTGAACCCTTTATTTCGTTTACTGGGGTAGATTGTTCTTGTTCCATATGCCATGCCTCTTCCAGATGTCTCAGTTATCTCCCTTTTAATTCAACTCTCCAAATTTTTGTCTATACCTCTGAAACGAGGTATCATTATTACTTACATGCATTATTCGGACTGTTATCCACTCACCTGAAGAAGGTCGGAGCGTACATCGTTATGAATATGGCAATGAAGATGAGGATAACAGTCCAAATAATGAAAATAATGTAAGTCTCAAAGCTTTTGTTCACCACTGCCTTAGCCAGATATTGAACTCATGACTCTTTGGGTCAAGTCACTAGATCCAGTCAAAGCTTTTAACCACTGGGCCATATGTCCTTGAGGACATGACAATAAAGATGGGGACAACAGTGTGAACAATGTAAATAATTAAAATAATTAAAATACCTTATCTTATAAATATGGACAAAAATGGGGCATTGCTGCCACATATGACCTGGAGCTACACAATCTTCATTTGCCTGTCTTGATACAGTTCAAAAAAGTGTACGTGGCTTTGCGGGTGATAACTTATTTTCCACCCTACAATCCTTCTCACGTAGACGAAATGTCAAAACCTCTTGCTACCCTGCTGCTATATCCATGGCAAATGTTCAGATGATATATTCCATAGTTCCACCAAGAAAAATGTCACCAAATTCATGAACCAACGTTATAATCCAGCAGACCACGGAACAATAGCCTACTGGATTAAAACGTTGGTCTGTGAATTTGGTGACATGGTAATTCTGAGTTCAATCCCTGGTTTGGGCAGTGTGTACTTTAACTCAGTGAAAACAGGGCGAGTACTACTAAAAATAATAGGAACTAGACAAGCCATCCCTGGACATGGGCAGTGGAATGAGAACGGTCTACTCCCATAGATTAATAAAGGTTTTCTGTTCGGAATCCCTTCTAGTTTATACGGAGAGATATACACCTGATGAAGGCCGGAGTGCACCACGGCCGAAAAATTACATACAACAGGTTGTGAAAATAGTCATGTAAAAATATCATTGCTGGAATTGACAAAACTGACGTGGATACAGACATATATATATATATATATATATATATATATATATATATATATATATATATATTCATCAATGAACAGACTGTTTCGCTGTATCACAGCTCCTCAGTGTGGCTAGACGTCCGATTGCTTCAAACCCAGTTCGAAACCCGATTGATTTGACATCAGTCAGATCTCTTAACATCGCACAGCAAAGAAAGAAGGGAATTTTCTCTATACGAAATACGCCAGCGGCTTATAAAAATCAATTCAGTTTTACATGAAGAGAAATAAAATATATATATATATATATATATATATATATATATATGAATGTCAGTGATTCACACTTTTTCGACTTTACTCCTAGTGGCTGTAGCCCATCTTATCTTACCATTTTGGAATCACGCACAATTCATACACAAAAAGAAAATAATTATTCTTAGAATTCTTTAACTGCTCGGCCATGAGTAGCTTCTGTAAAATTCACTTTAAGCTTCTTTGATTTTACGAAAGACCAATACTTGAATATTCAGTTTCCCATTATCCGAAAATGCTTAACGCGGGGAAGCAATTACCATTAATCTATGTCGAAAACCTTTTTGACAGTTGTTAAAAGTTAAAATAGAAAAAAAATACCTACTATGTATGGCTCGGTGTCAAAGGTCAGAGTTCGTCTTTTTCTATGGTTGACGTCTTGAAATAAAATAGGATGTTTCTCCGATGATCCACGCGCATTAACTCAGGTTTACGGCCACAGCACATTGAAACTTGGTCAGTACCCAGATGGATGACAGTTTGGTTATACCAGGTGCTGTAAGCTTCGGTGTGCGGGTGGTGTAATGTATAATGGCTCAGAGTTGTTAATCGGAGAGCCGAGTTCCAATTCCAGTTGGTTTCGGTGTATTCAATTTGGCGCAAATACTTTAGAAAAATACATGAATCCACTTCTTCCCCCCAGCTATGGATTAATTAGTAAGACCTGTATCACTAAACCCTTATTATCTCGAAAAAGATTCTTATAATCTAAATATATTTTCTGTCTTTAAATAACCTGCACAAATCGATAAGGTCGATAAGCCATAAAAAACGAAACAATCCATCAGTGCACTGTCAGTGGTAGCGAAAATGTGACTATTTTTAGAGGCGCTTGGAACGCTCGAAATATTGTCTTGTATAAACTAGTGATATTTGTTTCTTCGCTTTACACCTTTTTTCCGTTTAAGAAATACTCTGTAGAATCGTTCTACTTTCGGATAGCGGGGTTAACGTGCATTGTTATTTTATAATTATATATTGATTTGACATATGTAAACTCTCTTTCGTACGCACCATTTCTGGAAAGAAAATGTGTCAGAATGACATAGATGGTGTCGATTGTTCATGTTGACCCAGTGCAGGAAAACATGACAGACGTGGTGTTAAAAGCGACAAGAAGAAAAAAAAACTTTCAAAAGCGTTTAGCTCTTGGAGTAAACGAAGAAACGATAGTGATGTCGCAAAGGTGGCAAAAAGATGCTTCCATATTTATTTCACCCTGTCAGTAGGACGCAACACAAATTTTAGATTGCCGTCATCCATTCTACCTCAAAATATGGCGAAATATAATTTTATTTTATTTTCCCCTAAAATGTATTTGTATTATTTTATGTTTATGTAATTTAATTTTTTGTTAGCAAACAAAAAAAAAACGCATATTTGTGTTATTCTTAATTTTGTCTTTAAATTTACGAGAATCCATATGTTAAACGTTCTTCTATGATCTTCTGTCAAAACGCATATTTTTGTTTGAAGTTTTGTCTTAACTTTACGAGAGAACATATTTTAAATATTCTTTCATGATCTTCAGACATCTTTCAACAAAGTTCTTAATTCCATCCTTGTCAAAGTACAGCCGCGGGTGTCATTTACAGACTTCCAGGGAACTGATTTTTTTTTCATTAAGCGAATTCTATAAAAAACTGAAAAAAATCTAAAAGAAATTTAAATATTCTTTCGTTTTCCGGAGTAAAAATATTATTGAATCTTTTTGTGACATTATTTGTTACTGGTAATCATAAGGTTTTTTAGGTTTTTTTGTTTTGTTTTTTTTTTTATAGAAGGAGCGATATACTGACAGACCACTGATAAAAAAAAATAAGGAGGGATAAACACCGTAGGAAAAATTAAAGTTTTTAATTCTCATACAGACAGCAATTTGAAGTGTATATCGGGATTTTGAACAATGAAACACATAGGGTAGGCGTTGATTTGAACTGCGACATGTCAAATGGCAACAAAGATTGACACGTTAGTCGATCAAACACACAGCTAAAAATACGGGTTATGAATGGGAAACTTTTCTGCGTAAACAACGAACTTAGAATTAATCTTTACTGGTCGGAGGTTGGCTGAGGTAGCGGGCACAGATGACTCATCAAGGAAGGTGGAGGAGCCACCCACTGAGGAGTATTAGTGGGAGATAATAATAAGACGAAGTGGAAGTGATGGGGCGAATGCCTGTAGCCATCACTCGTGGAAGAGGGGAATTCCCCGAAATTATGCAGGACCCAGACAATGGAGATAATAAGCAGGGGGAAACACCGAATTCCCCCGCTGCGTCATGCCCCGCACCGGTTTAAGCGATCGTCAATAAATACGAATGTCCCGTAAGTCGAGAGAGAGAGAAACTTTCAGCCACTAGACGCGCGACAACCAAAATTGTTATCTTTCCGAAGAGAATCTCCGACATCAGCCTTGGGCAGAACTTTACCAAATCAATAAAACAAACTTTACCAAGTCAACAAAGTGTCACGTCTGAGTTAGAAGCGGGTTGAGCTGATAATTGTTTGATTGCGAACTATTGCATTTTACAATTAATCAATTATTGTACGAAGGATAAAAAAATACAAAAATAGTATTTATTGTTTTTAAATTTATTCGAACGTCATTTTCTTACTTTGCGTCTTCGCCCTGGTTGAACCAGCCCAATACGAAGATACCTGACGACGATTCGATCTTGGCCGCCTTATGATCAAAGCAAATTACAACGTGGGATAGGGCAGGACTCATCGATCAGTTTCGGTATTGGACGTCTTGGAGAATCGGGGAGGGTGTAGAGCGATATTTTAATGGCTAATCGAAAATGATTTTTTTTAAATTTTTCTTAAAAGAAAATCAAGTTCCTTCATCATATTTATTATAAAACCCAGGTTGTGTGTGTGTGTGTGTGTGTGTGTGTGTGTGTGTGTGTGTGTGTGTGTGTGTGTGTGTACGTTTATATATTGGATCGGATTTCCTACATTTTTCAACCGATTTCAACAAAACTTCACAGGACTACGTAAAATTACCTTGCGGTGGTTCTGACAGCGCCAAAAATTTGAAAAACAATTGTTTTTGCACGAAATCAATTTGAAAACACGATTAAAAGTCATCGCGAGAATGAAAGGGAGACAACTCATATCGAGTTATACTTATAAAACCCAGGTTGTTTTTCTGTGTTCGTTTATATATGGGATCGGATTTCCTACATTTTTCAACCGATTTCAACAAAACTTCACTTCTTTTTTTGGCAGGTAGTGTTTCTTATTGTCTTACACACTTTTTTTATTTTTACATTCAGAATGCTTTAAAAATTCCATTTACAAGACTATTGTTTATAATAAAATTCTATTCAATCGGTAGACTCATAACGATTGAAACAATGTTTTTGTGAGGTTTGTAATGTCAGGTTTGTAGTCGCTTGACTCAAAAGCTTTTCGTTTATTAATTTCCTTCCATACATTCTCCATGTGTCAAGATGGTACCGCTTAGGAAGCAATCATCTTAAGCAATCATATTTTGTCTTCCATCAGCATGGCTGATGCTACCCTCCAAAACAACAATTCCTTACGCCTTTTCAGTCTCAAGTTCACTGGCACGAACTGGAACGATTGTATTGAATCAGTTGCTGGTTTTGCTGCCAAGAAAGTTGGTTTACTATGTTGCCTGCAACTGTTCTTGCAAGAATCTTTCTTGCACCTTTATAAGTCTACTATTCATCTGTACATCAGATATTGCTGCCACATTTGGTTTGGTGCTTCTACTATGCATCTTAAGGTTGGGGACAAAATCCAAAAAAGAATCTGCAACGTTATCGATGCTGTCCTGGCATCACAGCTTCATTCGCTTTCCAACCTCCGTAACGATAGTTCCTCTGTGGCTTTTCCATAATTATTTTCACGGTAATTCTTCTAATGTTCTTTACTACCTCGACTACACAAATTTAAGTGCAGTGTTTGATTGGCGGTTATTCACTGTTTCATTTTCTAGATGTAGCTAATGGTTCCTTCTCCCGTACACATCGCTTATGGAACTCATTTCCGGCTTCTTTCATGCCTGTCAACTACGATTTTCGAAGATTTAAATGAAGCGTCAATCGTCATCTTCTGTTTCATTAAACCTTGTTCCTTTATTGTCCACCATGTTTCTTTTACTCTTAGTAACTCCTTGCAATGTATTGCCTTGTTTAGTGTGAAATGTTTTAGCCTGTTCATATCTATCTATCTATCTATCTATCTATATCTATCTATCTCAATCTGTTCATATCTATCTATCCCAATCTGTTCATATCGATCTATCTCAGTCTGTTCATATCTATCTATCTCAATGTGTTCATATCTATCTATCTATCTATCTATCTATCTATCTATCTATCTATCTATCTATCTATTTCAATCTGTTCATATCTATCTATCTATCTATCTATCTATCTATCCCAATCTGTTCATATCTGTCTATCTCAGTCTGTTCATATCTATCTATCTCAATGTGTTCATATCTATCTGTTCATATCTATCTATCTATCTATCTATCTATCTATCTATCTTTTCATATTTATCTATTTCAATCTGTTCATATCTATCTATTTCAGTTTGTTCATATCTATCTCAATCTGTCCATATATAGCTATCTCAATGTGTTAATATCTATCTATCTGTTCATATCTATCTATCTATCTATCTATCTATCTATCTATCTATCTATCTATCTATTTCAATCTGTTCATATCTATCTCAGTCTGTTCATATCTATCTATCTCAATCTACCCATATCTATCTCAATGTGTTCATATCTATCTGTTTATATCTATCTCACTATCTATCTATATATATATATATATATATATATATATATATATATATATATATGTATCTATCTCAATCTGTTCATATCTATCAATTTATCCATTTCATTCTCTTTATATCTGTCTTAATTGATTCACAAGTCTTGTACTGGATAGAACTTATTCTCCTTTATATGAAGTGTCCCCTCAGGATGTAGGCAATCATGGCTCTTCACAACTTCCTGTTCCCTGTAGCTCTTAATAAGTTTTGTCTCTCTGATATTTCTCCTAAACCCTGTTCCGCCATCTATTCACTCAAATTCATTATGTTGTTTTCCTCTGTCCCTGTTGCCTTCAATTTGCCCTGTGAGCATAATATTTTCCAAGCCCTCTTTCCTCATTATGTGCCCTAAATATTCAAACTGTCTCTTCCTGATGTTAAGTATAAGAGCTTTTTTTTGTTTCCATTTTCTCTAAAACTTGCTCGCTGCTCATATGTTCAGTCCATGGTATTCTCAGTATACTTCTGTAGGACTACATATCTGTTGTTTCAAATCGCTTCTTCATCTGTGAGGCGATTGGATTGCGGAGCAAATTTATCTCAGATTTAAAAAAAAAAAAATTTAAGCTCAGTTCAAGTGTATAACGCAACACATTAATCACCTGAGATGTTACCTGTCGAATTCCCCGAAAGAAAAAAAAACTGCAGTACCAGTAGTGAACAAAACAAGATCTAAAATTTAAAATCCAAATGCTAAGCATGGACTCATTGATTTTGTTAGAAATTAAAACGACTCGAATTTGCAAACTTTGCTTTAGACACACGCAAAAAGCGAATCCAAAATAAAACTCATGAAATTTCACACCTTGATGCGAAATGGTTTTTTTTCGGTCAATAGAAAACTAGGAAACACCTAAAAACAAAATTCAAATAACCTTCAATTCGCAGAAACAAATTCTTTAACGGACATTTTCGCGAGCCGACGTGAATTTTGTTCGTCGTCCAATGGAAAAGACCGAATCATATCCGGGTGTGAATTCCCAAATGACCTTTTCAAGCCCCACAAACAAAATAAAAGACTGGCAAGTTCGCCTGTCACCAGAGAGAAGGAGCCGAGCATATTAACACGTTCCTTGACAAACGTCAAGTGATTGTTATTATTATTTCTGCCTTTCTCCCTCACCTCTTTTATACTTGATAAACGAACGGAACATTTTTTGACTGAGCGATTACTTCAAAGACATTCCTACCCTTCGATAACGCTCATACATACATACATACATACATACACACATACGTTCCTGTCTACGTACACATAAACTCATTATTGCTAGGACTACTACGAACTAGATAATAACAATTTCTGGTTGGTAGATTAAACTTGTGTCAATGCAACAAAATAGACGATGATGATTCGTATTTTCTGTAATCAATCTTGCATTACAAATATGATAATTAAATACATATCATCAAGAGGTTTATTTCCTCGGGGGTTTGGGAATGAAGATTGTCTCGGAGTTAACAAAGTGTACGAAGCTTGTTGGACGGAAAGAAGATATCGGCAACCATTTTAAAAGCAAATAAGGAAAGTGCCAAAAATATTACTACTTGTGTTCTCTGGCGGAGAAACACTTTCATTTGCCGCCCTCACCGCGGGAGATCTTTGATTCGAAAGCCGACTGAGCGTAAATGCAATCAGGAATTACGATGAGGGTTTGAGATTAATACCGATATCGACACTAAGATAGAAATTGAAACAAAAGAAAACAAATAAAGAACAAATCCGATCTCGAGAAAGAAAGAAAGAAAGAATGAAAACAAATAAAGAACAAAGCCGATCTCGAGAAAGAAAGAAAGAAAGAAAGAAAGCACAAAGCTGATCTCGAGAAAGAAAGAACAAGAAGGAAAGAAAGAAGGAAAGAAAACAAATAAAGAACAAAGCCGATCTCGAGAAAGAAAGAACAAGAAGGAAAGAAAGTAGGAAGGAAAACAAATAAAGAACAAAGCCGATCTCGAGAAAGAAAAAAAGAAAGAAAGAATGAAAGAAAGAAAGATCTTTCTTTCTTTCTTTCTCGAGAAAAAAAATAAAAATAAAACTGTATTTGGAGTAAAAAATAAATAAAATATTCAGTGAAATAAAGAAAGGTTTGGTTTGGTTTGGTTTACGGTATATCAACCCCAATGAGTTATTTCATGCCGACAATATTTTTATTGGTGGTAATTTTTTTTTTTCCAAAAATGTATTACTGGTAATATTTTTTCCTCACAAAAATCTATTTCTGGCAATATTTTTTTCCTTCAAAAAATCTATTTCTGGTAATATTTTTTCCTCAAAAAAATCTATTTCTGGTAATTTTTGTCATCCCCAAAAATCTATTTCAGGTAATATTTTTTTTCAAAAAAATCTATTTCTGGTAATTTTGTCATCCAAAAAAAATTATTTCTGGTAATATTTTTTCAAAAAAGTGTATAGCTGGTAATATTTTTTTCTAAAATGTGTTGTTGATATATATATATATATATATATATATATATATATATATATATATATATAAAATTGCAAGTAATACAAAGTACTTTTGGTATTAAAATTTATTTTTACACTATAATAGTGTTTTGACCCCACTTTGGGGATTAACTACTTGCCCATAGCTGGGACCCTAACAGGTGCTAACACCCCGGGTGGATCTGGGAACACCAGCAATTAAGAGGTGGTTCCACGCTCCTCAAATCATCCCGATCAGAGGCCTTGCTGTTGGAGGTAGTTTATCGTCTTACCCTGGACGCGGATGTAGTTTACCGTCATACCCAAAGACGGAAAGAAAGTGGATGATTGACAGAGGACAGAAAAAAACTAATTCAAAGGTAAAAAGAACGGAAAACATATTTATATGAAATAAAAAGAAAGAAGCAACTTTAAGGACAATTAAATATATATGAACTTTATTTCAAGATTTCATGAGCTTCCTATTTTTAACTAGGATTAATTAATAATGAACATGTCATTTTCGTTTATGATCGATTTCATCACGATTATTCTAAGCTTGAAGAGTAATTATATATACTTATTGTTCAAAGTAGAGTCCAAACGTGCTATAAAAACCTCAGAGAATTCCAGTAAGATATCTTTAATCATTTCTTAGATACAGCGGTAGAAATGGATAATTTTGCTTTTACACGATCTGGGAAATTTTACTGTTACACACAGTCTATATAAGAAAGTAATGTTTTTTATATATATATATATATATATATATATATATATATATATATATATATATATAAGAAATATATATTGACCATATAAAGACTAAAATTGACAAAGATTATTGTTTAAGGTTGACGGACGCATGTCTTAATTAGTTTTTTTTTTTACGAATTGGTCAAACACAAACTCAAACAAAAAACATTGTTTTCAATCGCTATGAGTCTACCGATTGAATAGAATTTTATCATAAACAATTGTTTTGTAAATGGAATTTTAAAGCATTCTGAATGTAAAAAATAAAGAAAAAGTGTGCAAGACAATAAGAAACACTACCTGCCAAAAAAAGAAGTGAAGTTTTGTTGAAATCGGTTGAAAAAATTAGGAAACCGATCCTATATATAAACGAACACAGACACACACACACACAAACACAAACAACCTGGGTTTTATAATAATAATATAACTCGATATGAGTTGTCCCCTTTCATTTTGCAACAGCCTCTTAATCGTATTTTCAAATTGATTTTGTGCAAAAACAATTGTGTTTTTCCAATTTTGATGCTGTCAGAACCACTGCAAGGTAATTTTACGTAGTCCTGTGAAGTTTTGTTGAAATCGGTTGAAAAATGTCGGAAATCCGATCCAATATATTGGGTTTTTAATAAGTATGATATATATATATATATATATATATATATATATATATATATATATATATATATATATGGTTTAAATGTGGTTTAAAAATTTCATACAGCTGATTCCAACAATCATTTGAAGATTTTGGAATCAGTCTTTATAGGATTAAGGAAACCTTTCTCTGCCGGCAGAAAGAATTTGTAGTCTCTTAATCTGTTGGGGAATTTTATTTTTAATTTCTTTTTTACACGTTATTTCCCTCCCTCGTTACAAGTATATACACTTTTTATTATTTTAGTGTGTTTGCCCCCATTTTATTTTCGTTACTGTTCTTTTTCGTTAATTAATTATCCAACGATTGTCTCCTGATGAGATACGTTGAAACCTTAGAGACTAATAAAATTAAAAAATAAATGTTTTTAAAACTGTATATAAATTTTTACCTCTAAGCATTTGTTTTTATATATATATATATATATATCCCACACGGGTAATAATATATCGGAAAAAGAATTTGAAAATGCAACTGGAGTCTTTAAAAATATTTTCTTTAGAGTAACTTGACTGGTTTCAAAGTTCTAGAATTTTAAAATTACGGGTAACACTTTAAGTTTTAGAAATGTTTATACTCGTAAAAGCTCGTAATCCTAGTTACTAATGTACTAATGTTCCAAAGAAAACACTGGAACTAAAGATTAGTCAAGTTTAAACACGTGGATTAATAATACAATACTAATGAATATCGTAGCTAGTGCCGCACACTTTGCGACTACTTTTCGGCTCACTTGCGGCTCACTAGTGACTATTTTGCGGCTCACTTGCGGCTCACTTGCGACTACTTTGCGGCTCAATTGCGGCTCACTTACGACTACTCTCAGAGTCAATGGAAAGTTCATGATCTATGTAAATTCAAATAGAGAGCCGTGTGGCTATGATATGAACAGTTTTGCATACATATACAATGTCATATTAAGAATAATTTACCTGCCTCATTTTATACCTGCTTGATCCTCCTCTTGGCACCTCCAATTCTTGCTTCAAATCGTTGGCTGTCTCTTTTGTTGAAGACCATACATTTTTTTTTTCTCTTAGGCCACCTTACTGGTTCTCGAAATATCCAATGAGGTTGGATTTTTTTTTTCCTGAAGCTATTTGTATATTTCTCTTTTTCTATGGAAATATGTTTTAGTTTCCAGGTAGATTCATTGCTTTTATGGGCGATACGTTCAATAGTCAGCTTGTTTCGCGTTTTAGCTGTATATTTCCCACGAGCTACCTGCATCTTGCCATGTTTGTCCTATGTGATATTGTTTCCTGGTTCAGAGTATGAATGATTAACGATGATTCAGAAGTAAAGGAGAAGAAAAGACTGGTTTCTAAATGCTTATACGGACTATTCGGTCGGATATGGGCACGTGACCGAGTGTTTAGAACGTTCGCATTCTGACCATGAGACCCGGGTTCGAATCTCATCAAGGTCGATTTGTCAGGAACAAGACTTTAATGGAAGGGTCGATCCCAGCGTGGAAAGTGCCTGAAAACCATAACACGTCAGTGAAATAGAGGAGACGGAACCCTTGGGCGTCGTCGATAGATTTGCTAACACGAAGTCACAAGTAATCGTGGCCGAGCACACTTGAGAGTGCTAGCCTTGTTCAAATTGCTTATCAAGCTAGATAACACGTTCATTCCCCAAAACTCTAAGGTCTGTTCAGCATAGTTGAATAAACACAAATGCGCCTGCAATAGGGATTGGCTAGTCTGAGCAAGTGTCTGCAATAGGGATTTGTGGCTGACTGGCGGCTCACTGGCGGCTCATTGGCGGCTCATTGGCGGCTCATTTAGGACTACTCTCACAGTCAATGGAAGAGTTCATGTTCAACAATTTAGTGTAGCGAAGGTCGCTCATCTTTCTACACAGCTTTAGTTGATTATATAAAATTAATTATTTTTTTTTAATAAAATTATTTAATAATGATGTCGTTTTGTTACAAGAGTTCTTGCCATTTTAAAATTTTCACTGCCGACGTTGCAAGCTTTACGGGCCTCACCGCCGCTTCGTCATTATGGTAGGTGCCGGGGCATCTCGTGCACTGCAGACGATGACCGCTCCGGTCGCTGGCGTTCTCGCTGATGATGCTGACAATCTTTTGCTGAGATATAATTATATCTAAACACGCACTTACACACATATTTGGGAAGTGTTTATTTCAACCAGTCAAGGGCAAACTGCGGCCCGCCAGTCACATGCGGCCCGTTTGGCTTTCTGATTGGCGCGCTTAATTTCATGAGGAACATAACATTTCATAAAATTTGGTTTATTTCATTTCATTCGCACTTGTTCCCTCACACACTCTCATACGTAACCATAGGCATAAACAATGATTAAGTGCAATGTTTCTTGAATTTTTAAACTTTCGTCGAAGGTAACGTTTTCATCATTTTAAACCATTGGCGATTTTCACTAAGGAAGATCAGACGTGTAAATATCTTTTACTGTTGTAATTTAGGGAAGATTACTGAATAGAATAATCACACGAAGGTTAGAAATGAACGATGATACTTTGGACAAGAACAACATAAATAAGATTCGCCAGTGTCGAGTAGAAGAAGTAGTCAACTGCTAGAAGTGACTCAAGTGAATTCCACAATGAATCTCCAACTGCAGGATATCTAGCAACCACCCCACCCGTTCAGATGTGGTACAAGGCAAATTTAATGTGGGTATCCGAGCCGTAGGCCCGGCAAAAAATTCCCAGACACCGTATAAACGGGTCGGGTAGCTGTTTCTCGAGACGAGATTCTGACATAGCCTCCTGGGGACTGTCCGGAGGCAGAGAGACCAGAGACGAATCTCTAACTGCAGGATATCTACCAACCGCCCCACGCGGTTTATTTTATATTTAATGTTGGTATCCGAACCGTAGTCTCGGCAAAATTCCCCGTAGACCTGTATAAAACGGGGTAGGTGCTCCCGAGACGAGATGTCCGAGGATCATCTCTGTCGGAAGGAAGGCAGACCAGCACAGCAAAACGTTGCAGACCAACATACAGTGTTTACTACTTTATTTATATTAATGGAAACATGCCCATTATAGCCCGTAGGTATGCTACAACATTTACTTAAGAAACAAGAAACGTTCAGAATATATATATATATTTTTTTTTTTAAAAATAAAGTTTTGAATTTTTAATAAATTAGAAGTTAATCCTACGAAGCGTTCAGCGCCAATCACACTCTCAGACGGTTAAACGTATATTCATACTGAGTCACGAAAAATTACATTGGATCTTTTTAGTTTTTCGGCCCGCCTTATGATGAGCCTTTCTTATTAGGGCAGCTTGCTGTTTTTAACTTTTTATAAAATCTATATTGCACCCAATGTAAAAGTTGGGGATTTATGCGATAAGTACCGTCACCAGAAATTAGATTTATAGCTTTTACCATTTTTTGATCATTTAGGTTTAAATAGAATCTGCATAAAATGTACAGAAATACCTTATTTCCGTAGATTTTTGTTTAGAAACTAACTTAAAAATTTTACTATTTCCAGAATAAATCCAAATAAAGTTGATATCTTTTGTATTAGATACACTGAATCTTACTTATTATAAAACGCAGATTGTGTGTGTGTGTGTGTGTGTGTGTGTGTGTGTGTGTGTGTGTGTGTGTGTGTGTATTGGATCGGATGGGATTTCCTACATTTTTCAACCGATTTCAACAAAACTTCACAGGACAACGTAAAATTACCTTGCGGTGTTTTTGACAGCGCCAAAAATTGGAAAAACACAATTTTTTTTGCACGAAATCAATTTAAAAACATGATTAAGATGTATTAATGAAAGGGGGATAACTCATATCGAGTTATACTTATTAATATCGAGTTATCGAGTTATACTTATTATAAAATCCAGGTTGGTTGTGTGTGTGTGTGTGTGTGTGTGTGTGTGTGTGTGTGTGTGTGTGTGTGTGTGTGTGTGTGTGTGTGTGTGTGTGTTCGTTTATATATGGGATCCGATTTCCTACATTTTCAACCGATTTCAACAAAAACTTTTTTTTTTTTTGGCAGGTAGTATTTCTTATTGTCTTGCACACTTTTTTTCTTTATTTTTACATTCAGAATGCTTTAAAAATTCCATTTACAAGACAATTGCTTATAATAAAATTCTATTCAATCGGTAGACTCATAACGATTGAAAACAATGTTCTTGTTTGAGTTTGGGTTTGACCAATTCGTAAAAAAAAGAAAGAAAAAAAAGAACTAATTAAGAGATGTGTGTCCGTCAACCTTAAACAATAATCTTTGTCAATTTTATTTTTCAGTCTTTATGATGGTGGATACTTGATATATCTCTTACTGTTATATCCCCGGGCAACGACGGGCTCTACTGCTAGTTGGAAATATATTCAAACCAGAATTCTAATTATAAATCACAACAAACAAAATATGCAGTTATTTTTACTGCATTTGATAAGTTAAAATTGTAAAATAATTGTAAAAGATTACAAAAAAGGTTAATCAGTGAATAAGATTTGTTGGATCATTTGTTAGGTCCTAATTAATAAAAGCAAAAAAAAATAGCAGATAAAAGAGTCTCAGTCAGTCAGGTGCCAGATTTTTTTTTTCTCGCAGCAGGTTGCCATTTCTTTGTGCGGTAAACCAGTTGCCATCCAAGGCTATAGAACCCGGTCTGTCCTACGATTTACCCATAGCTAGGGGGAGAAGAAGAGGATTAGCACGTAAGTGAATGTAATGGTTTCGACTGGATTTCACTCTCGGCTCTCTGATTCCTGAATCCGAGCCGCTATCCATTACCACACCGTGCTATGTATATAACGCCATAATACTGCTGGGTACAAAATTATAAGACAAAATGTTTTAAATTTGCATTGTTTATTGAAACTCACACTAAAACTACTGCACTGTATAACATGTTACATCATATGATAGCTTAACAGTTCGGTATAATTTCACTTTGAATGTAAATAAAGCTCTTTTTTGATGACACAATGATTTATTAATAATGTGCTTGTGTCATGAATCTCGTTCATACACAATATGTAAAGCTTAAGTAAATTATAAATTTTATAAAAGCTGGACTATTAGCCTTTCACTGACACCGGAATGAAATTGCAACGCTACGATTTTGAACATAAACTTAATCTTCAAATTCGTTTTCTCACAAAACGTTAATAAGTTGGAAAACAATATTTTGTGTCAGTATTTATCATGTCAAGCTCAAATTTTCAATAACAGGCAACTATAATACGGTCAACTGGTCATAAAAGGTTGCCCATGCTAGACTATTTGTCGTCTGGCAATGTTGGACAACAGAAAAAATCAATTCGCTTAAGTAAAAAGTAAATGAGACCGTTCCTATCTTTGACTTAAAATGTATTTTTTAAAACATATTTATTCGACTATCTCCTGCCATTCTTTTTTTTTTTTTTTTTCAGGGAACATTCATGATTTCAGCCTTCTACAACGTTTTTTGGTCAGACATCTTTGCACACTTACGTGGTTATTTTGGATTTTAGAAGGATTTAGCTATACACAAAATTATTTTATGCTCTTGGTCAAGAAATTTGTTGAATGATACAGGTCAGAACCAATAAAATTTAAGGTATAAAATATGCAAGAACATGTTCTTTCATGTACTCCAGAGCTGACGATTGACCACTTTGACAAAAAACGGTTTCAAACACACCAATTCAATGGAATGGTCCCCAGATTTATATCCAATTGAAAGCTTGTTTGAAAGCGATGTATTTGAGAATAGAAAACAATATTCAAACAAAAATATCCGGGAAGCAATTCTTTTTTCTTTTTTCTTTTTTTTTTTTCTGTTTTTCTTTTGTTCTCTTGTTCGTTTCTTTTCCTCATCTTCTCGTTTTTTTTCTTTTTTTCTTTTTTCTTTTTTTCCTTTTGTCCTCTTGTTCTTCTCTTTTCCTCGTCTTCCCGTTCTTTTTCTTTTTTCGTTTTTTCTTTTCTTCTTTTTTCATCTCTTTTCCCCGTCTTCTAATTGTTTTCTTTTTTTTCCTTTTGTCCTCTTGTTCTTCTCTTTTTCCCGTTTTCGCATTCTTCTTCTTTTTCTTCATACACTGACACCCTTTCTTTACAACTACTGCTATAATCGTTTTCTTTTTCGTCTTTTTTATTCTTTTTCGTCGTTTTTATTCTTTTCCTTTCTTTTTTGTCTGGCATCTCCCCCCGCCACCGCTCTTTTCGCCTATTTTCACCAGGATTCTCCACTTTTTATTTCCTTCCATATTTTCCTTCAATATACTCAACTATATCGTCTTTTTTTTTCAATTTTTACCCCAGCTTGTGTATAAGATATTTTTGTGTTATTTTCCTTTTGTCATTACACTCTTTATTTTCATTTTCTCTTCATCTTTCGCTGAAATCCAAATTGTTTTCATCGCAATTTTCCATGCAAACTTCTCGAACTTTTACTAAAATCGCCATTTTATCTCGCTTGCAGGGATTAACCAGAGAGCCAACACAAAAGACGCTGGTGAGTTGTCAGATGGAAAATTTGATACGTGATGCTCTCTCTGAAAAGAAAGATTTTACTGAAAACGTTGCTATTGTATAAAATCGTAATTTTAGAGTAAAGCGAATTTTATGAGAAAGAAAAATGTACACGCCTGCAAATCCCAGCGGAAATGTCCGTCTTTTGTCGATTGATCAAGATTTTTTAAGATAAACGCAAACGTTGAAAATAGTCAAATAGAATTCTGAACGAGCAATGATATACACATTGCGCATGCGCGCGTGCTGGAATGAACATGCTTGTAAATAGGAATGCGCAAAAACAGATAAAGAGACCGCGATGCACAGAGGAACAAAAGACAGTTTGTTTGTTTTTTTTTAATAAAAATTGATTCAAGCGTTTACTAACGTTGATCAAATTCCTCACACGCGAAATCAAGAAGTGTGTGTGTGCGTGTGTGTGCGCCTGAGTGATATTTTCTCATTTTATCAACTAAAACACTACTTACATAGTTAGGATGTTATATAGACAAGTTAGCGTACCGACTATGAAATCCGAGATCGAATCTCGGCATTACTTAAATACACTAGTCCATTCGTAAAAAAAAAAAAAATTTTTAAATAGGGAAAACGGTTCCAGGAATATTCGACGTAAACATTTTTGCCGTAAGAAAACTCGCCTCAGTAATTTCCGCCGTAGGAAACTTTGCCGTATAGGATTTGGGGGTTTAGACAATTTCGTCGCATTTTTTTTTTTTTAATATACGAAGTACCTTGTTATCAGGTATATAATGGCTCACACTATTGTTATTACGATTTAAGCGTTTTAATAAACGAAGTTATAGGATCAAAATCCTATATAATTCATCCTCGTCAGTGAGAAGCGCAAAAATTTCAACTTGACACGTCACGCAATTTCATATTTCAGACTTAATATTAAAGTTTCTGTTAACATAATATCAGTCAGCCAATAATTCTTACTAAAGCAATATTCATTATTTCAAAGAAACTTACAACTTGAATACGCAACCAACTTCAATATAAAATATCTGATCAAAGAAAGAGAATTCTTTCAAACTCTTAGTAAATCTTTTGAAATTTACACAAATTATTTGCAAACATATACTGTTTTAAAATCACAATAAATACCTAAATATTGAAATATACTTTCTTATATTAGAACACACACCACCTTTTGATCCAAAGTATAATTAATATTCAATACATCAAACACAAAAAATATTTAAACAATTTAATATATATAATTGTTATATAATTAAAATACCCAAATTGAATACCTAATTTGAACACTTAAAGAAGGAGCAGAATTATTGATCTCCATTCAAGACCAGCGAAAAATACTTCGTTACAGTCCAACGCAAAAAAACACATTATTTACGAAGCATTGATTGGAATTTTCACACATTTTAAATTATTTCTTTGTTAATTTGGTATATTTTTAGTCCTTTATTTTTTATATAATTGTTTATTTTTTAATTTCTTTTCTGATGTTTGACCATGTAAAAAAGACATCCATATATACTTGATAACAACGTATTTCGCATATTAAATTGAACATTACTCCAAAAAGAACGTTGAAGATAAGGGTATCGAAAAGAAAATGCGGCGAAATTGTGTTACGGCGAAACTGAGGTGAGTTTTTATACGGCAAAAATATTTGCGTCGAATTTTCTAGATACGAGGGAAAAGTATGTGGAAGAAGAAAGAAGAAGAGAAAGAAGAAGAAGTAGTCGAAGCATAAGAAGAAAATGTAGAAGATTTTTTTGGTCTATTTTTAGAAGCGATGAAATTGAATGCACAACAATGATCGATGAAGAAGTGTATTGACATTTATGTTGGAAAATAAATATTTCTTGTGTGAATAATGATTAGTATTACCGTTAGGCTACGAATTTATTGATGCAGGTTTATGTGCATGCGTATATACTCAAGTGCTGCAGCTTGCACGCCCACCCGATCAGTGCAACAAAAAAAAACATTCGAGTCGCTCAACACAAATTAACCAATCAAAATACGACAAAAAGCGAAAACTTCAGAATGACGTCAGAAAGGATTTCCCGCTTTCTGACTTTTTCTTCTTTTTTTTTTTCATCTCTTTTGATTTTACATTTTGTTCTTTTTCAATCTTTGTGTTCATAGAGACTTTTTGAACACATTGGCATTCATTAGCAGCACGTTGCCTTGTCTTTCCCCGAGGAAATGGAGTTTATGCACGGGGTGGAACCATTCTTTTGTAGGGGGCCCACAGCAAAAGTTCAACACAAGATATTCGTTGTTGCAAAAGCGCGGACAGTCGGGAATGCATAAAAGCAACAATTAAAATCGATACATCGACCGACTTCGCTCTTTGTCTTTAAATATTCCTTTTACATTTCTTATAAAGATAATTCTATTATGAAGAAAATTTATGTTCGTTAGGTAAACAAATACTGACATAAATAGATAGATAGATAGATAGATAGATAGGAATAGACTCAGATAGATAGATAGATAGACAGATAGATAGATAGATAGATAGATAGAAATAAAATGTGATAGATAGATAGATAGATATGAACAAACTGAGATAGATATATATATATAGAGAGAGATAGAGACAAGAAAAGACATAGATAGATAGATAGATAGATAGATATGAAGAACCGACAAAAATGAAATCTGAGAAAGTAAGAAAGAGAGACTATGACGAAAAGCTATCTCGGTTTGTACTAATCTATATATTTATCTATCTCGGTCTTTTCAAATATATCTAACAATCTCAGTTCGTTCATTCATATATATATATATATATATATTCTGTTTATACGTTACTTTTATAGATATAATTTATTCAAGTAAATGCACTGTTTTTTTTTTAATTAAACAGTATTAATTACATTTACCGACATGAATGTTCGAGAAATTTCGCAGAAAATATTTGCTCCTCCGACAGAAATTGAACCTGTAACCCTACTGAGCACCATCATTTGATCTGATGTGCTTTTAACCATTCAGCCACAGCGTCAGATTAGCAAAGTCCTAATTTCTGTTTAAAAACACACACCTTCGACGATTTTTTTCGATCGATCTTATCTGCTCCCGAAATATATCTTAACGTAAATAATGACAATATATTATGAAATGGATTAATATATTTTCTGTTTATACATTATTTTTATATTATAATTATTTGTATATTTTATATTTGTTTATTGTTTTTAGGTCTTTTTCCAGTTGTTTTTCGAATTTGTTGTTTGGCAAAACATTACAGAAATATGCGAACTCATAGGCATATACATCATCAATAAATCAATATATCATTAATCAAAAAGACATAGGCTTATACAGAGACGACGGCCTAATAAGTGTAAAAAATTTTAACAGCAAAACTACAGAAAAAAAAAGAAAACAGATTATAGAAATTTTAATACATTAGGATGTAAGTCATACATAAAATCCAACCTAAAAATAGTAAATTTCTTAGATATAGTATTTAATCTGAACAACAATATACACAAACTATACATTCAAATACATACCCATATCTATAAGCAAAAGAATATCAACAAATTCCAGCAACATAAAAATATTGAAGTAAAACAAAAAACATATGAAATAGCATTAAGAAATAGCAGTTTTTCGAACATACAACCAAGCACAATAGAAAAAGAAACTTAATCTGGTTCGCTCCACCCCGTACAATAAAATAAAAAAACGGGAAAAATATACTTCAAAATAATCGAAAAGTATTTTCCCCAAAACAACAAACTATCAAAAATCATCAACAAAACCACCTTAGAAATCAGTTACAGCTGTATGAAATACATGGAGAAAATAATAACCAAACACAATAAAAAAATACTCAAAAAAGACAATAATAACCACAGCAACATTAACCTACAAAAAACAACAACAAATACAACTGTCGAAATAAAAACAGTTGGACATTTAACAATAAATATCTAACCAACAACATAATATATAAATCCACTGTAACAAACAACACAAACACGGAAGAAAAAGTTTACATGGGAGCTAGAGAAACAATTTTCAACAATCATCAAACCGCATTTAAAACAGAAAAATACAGAAACAACGTAACATTATCAAAATACATATGGAGCTAGAAACAAAGTAACATTACTACCAAAATTAAATGGGAAATTACAAAACAAAAAAAAAAAAAAAAAAAAAACACACATCAACAATAGCAGAAACTGTAGACTGTAGCTGGAAGAAAAACTAGCAATTATTACATTTAAAAGTCAAAACAACTTATTGAACAAAAGGAATGAAATAATGGGGAAATGCAGACATCTAAATAAATACCTATTTTCTTACTTAAATTCTAACATAAAAAGAAAGGATAGAAATGCAGCATTAAACGTAAAACCATCCCAAACACAAACCTCTATACCTAGCACATACCAATCCCAAACACAACACAACTAGGAAAGAATAACTACAATATCAACAAACAATAACCAACAAAATATACCACAACTACACTCTTCACAAAAACATACACAGGAGCAGGAACGCATACACACATAAAAACACATTACATCTAACCCATCAGTCAGTTATGTGCCATACGTGATACACGCTTAGGCGATCATGTATCTTTCAATACATGACTGACGAGGTAGATTTTTTCCCACAGTAGGTTGCCACTTCTTTCTGCGGTAGACCAGTTGCCATCCAAGGCTATAGAACCCGGTCTATCCTGCTATTTACCCATAGATGGGGGAGAGGAAGAGGATTCGTGTCTTTCTAAAGGGTATTATCACGTAAGTGAATGTGATGGTTTCGAGTAGAATTCGAACTCGGCTCTCACCCA